AGAGAGAGAGAGAGAGCATGAATCCATCACATGACAAAAAAGAGGTGCTCATATGAGGTCCTCAGTGTGAGCTGAACCAGCTCTCAAGGAGAAATTTGCTTTGCTTACATACGCTTAACTCTGCAAATCCACCCCAAGCCAATAAGCTCCTCTGATCTTTTGTATCAAAAGAGGTAGTAACTGCTCATTTTCAAGAGCTCAACAATGCCTATGAAGTCTTATCAAACCCCAAAGAATGACTATGATATGACTCATCACTTACAAATTCTCTTCAGATTCAAACCCTAACTCAATCCCTAATTTGCACCCAAATGAAAGATATAAGCCCCAGCTTTTTGGTGGATAAAAAACTCCTAAATCAGTGGAACTCAGAGATTCCAATGAGAACTGCTTGAGACTTGGGAATCACCTGAGTCGGACTGTAGAACCAACCAGTTCACTGCACTGAACTAGATAGGTTCGTTCCAAGGGGGCGAGTCCCTGGTTTGGAGTTCTCCACAACCAGAGACCAGCCGATTCCCAGCAAGTAAAGAGATTCCGAGCCCAAGTCACCTATTTTTTAATCACTGCCTTAGACTACTAAATAGTAGATAGTAGCACATGCTATCCCATAAACAGCATAAGGAGTATGCATGAGGCTCACACATCCACTAGACCATCAAAGCATCCTTCTTAGGTGGAAGTTGTTTGGAGTTACTGTAAACTGCCAGTTAGACCCTCAGCCATCAACCTCTTCCTTGTAAATAATATAGGTTAAGGGCTTGGGCTTATACATAAGACCAACATAAGAAATGCTACAGAGAACCACAGGGGACAAGACAGAGCCAAACTCTCCATGAGAATAAAAGAGAGGATGCTTTGTGCGTCTAAAACTTGCTTACTCCAACCTAAGTAACACACATGAGCTATAGAAGATACTGGGATGGACAGGCAGAACTAGTTTACTTCCTTCAAACTATAACAACATTAAACCCATTAACATATAGAATCAATAGAAACTGGTTTAGACTATAACCACACTACTGAACCACGATCAGAATAAAGCAAGAAAGTTGTAAAAGAGACCAAATCAACTGAAACCAGTATAGAATATGACCTCCCTCTATACATTTTAAAACACATTGCAAGATATTTTCAAGTAATAATGGGAACTTAAGAGGATCATATCACGCTTGGTTGATCCTTGGAGAGGTTTAAATGCTTCAATAATATCCAAATTATTTACAGCAATGAGAATAAGGAGATTGGTTTTGAATAGGATCCGTTTTGAATTAACAACCAGTGCCCGTATTTTGTGAAAGATGCTGAAAAAGCAGACCAATTCAAATATTTGTTTATTATCAGATAGGCATGTTACAAGTTTCCACTTGATTCAAGCACTGAAATCAACATTTCAAGTATAATTCATGGCAGTTTGCATCAACTTATAACTTGTGGCAACCAATTGTTTGCTTTTCTGCATTTTCAGCATTTCAAGACAATACAAGAATTAAAATAGCAATCAATCACAACAATTAAAAAATCAAGAAAGAAAAGTTATTAATACCGCTGTATACTCCGGATCAAAATATCCAAATGTACCTAGCACCCTACTAGTCACATACACTTCCTGGCCTTCAGGGATGAGCTTGGCAAGGCCAAAATCTGAGATCTGAGAACCAAAGAAACAGTAAATCATGAACATAATCTATGACATAGAATTCACTCAATTAGATTTTCAAAGTTCTTATTACAAATTTCTTAATAGTAGCCACAGTAAGGCATTGAATACCTTAGCCTCAAAGTTCACATCTAGAAGAATGTTGGTTGATTTGAAATCTCTATGGATGATGGGAATGCCAATTGTTGTGCTCGAGTGGAGATAGGCAAGGCCTCTGGCGGCACCCAATGCAATCTTGAGCCTTAGAGGCCAGTCCATCTTAGTCTCAGTAATTCCTGTAATAAGGTTATTTCATTTTCTCATAAGATTTTGAGGAGGAAAAGACAAATATATCACTGATCAATCTATAGTGTATTTACTTTGCAGGGGAAGGCTTGAACACCAACCATTCAAATGTGATTGTAAGTTCCCATTTTGCATAAACTCATAAACCAAAAAGCGATGCTTTCCATCTGCACAATACCCAATTAGGGCCACCAGATTTGGATGATCTAGCCTACTTAAGATGTCAACTTCTACACGAAACTCCCTTTCACCATCAGCCTCCCTAAATGATGGTAGATCCATTTTCTTTACTGCAACAACCTTCAAGAAAACATATAAAAATAAATAGCAGTTAAATTATTATCCCAAAGTCATAATTTAAATGTTGAACCCATCTTCAAGGCATAGGCTCATGCTTTTCACATTCGAAATTGATGGAGTAAAAAACACTACAGAGTGCATGGAAAAGAAATTGATCCAATTGATACCTCCGAGTTCTGCAATCACAGAACACTAAACATGCATATTTTACATTATAAGTTAACAAAGTTTAAAACATTTTAGGATTTTAATGGCACGAGAAACTATTCCACAAAAAAATATAAAAATATCTTAGTATGTTTCAAAATACAAATAAATAAATAAAAGATGCTAACATACTTAGGAATCATGTTTGTGCCCCATGCCGCACCAGCTTTGCGTCCTACCCAAGGTTGGTCAAGGCTGTAAATACTCCCGAGTGTATGATTGTTGGTCTTATGAACTGGCCCACTAAGTGTAGTTAAACAGCCTAGAGAGGCACAACTTTGTACAGGGACTTCAAGTCCCTAGTAAAAATTCCATCAGTAAGGGAGTCCTGCATGCTTGCCTAGCCCACAAGCATTACATTAAACAAAAGGGGTCTAACTGTAAATGAACATCTTCAGAGTGTTATATATGTCTAAAGATGGAAATAGTTCCCCTACATGTGCCTAAATCTAGTATCTTTCCTTGGTAATATAAACTGCTTATGCCTAAAACCTTCCCTGTAATGAATGGCACAGAATTGAAGGTGTGTTTGCTAAGAAAATCAACTTAGAAAGAGTACATAATGAACATCAATATATTCAAATATAGTTCAATGGAGGAACCATTTCAAATTGAACTAAACAAACAAGGGTGTTTATTGATAGTCTTTCTTCTTCTTCTTTTTTATATTTTCGGTTCTCTTTGTTCAAGTCCCTTGTGAGTTTCTTTGGTCAAGTCCCATGTGAGTTTCTTTGTTTTACATAAATAATATATATAAGGAGAAAAGTTTATTTAAGGGCGAGGCTCTAAACAATCAATTTAGGGTGCATCTCAAAAATCCACTAAAAGAGGTTGTTTTGAAGCCCAAAGATCCTCAAATTGATCAACTCGACCTCAAGATATATGGACATGAGAAAAAATGGATTTCAAGTCTTAGAAATAGTGCATCTTGTAATGACTTTCGAATCATCAATTTTCAAGATTTTCAAGTGTTCATAGATTTGCTCGATCTATACTACTTTTGAAGTTTGAAATTTTATAATTAGAGATGAAATTAAATTTTCAGGCCATCAAAAAGATACCAATATTGAAAAAGCATCTTTCGACAATATTTGAAGGTGCGCTTTACTTTGATTATTTAGAGCCTCGGCCCTATACAAACCACACCCTATAGATAAAGAGCATCAAAATTGTGCAATAAAGTCCAATGCGCGTGATGGTAGTGTGATCCTATACTTCTCAATTTGTCCAGGGTTCAAGTCATGCCTTGGTAGGATCACTAAAGCCATTTGGACCAAATTGGACCGGCTGGTTCAATGCATAACCGGTGAACCAGCTGGTGGTCTGGATATTGGACCAGCCAGTTTACCGGTTGAAGCTCCTCCACGGTTCATTGACTTTAACCGGATGGGTTTTGGAACCTGTTCACCAGTTGAACTGGCCGGTCCAGTCCGGTTCTCACATCATTGGTAATAACAACGATAATAACTCAACTACTCCTAAAACACCCATGTAAATTACAAGCAACTGCAGAACAATATACAACACACAATAATGACATAGCAACAACTGTAACCAAGTGTTAAACAGCATAAAATTATGCTATATCAAGAATGTACTTGATCCCTAAAAAAAATGGCTTATGCAACAAAGATCTTGAGGCACATGGAAAATTGGCCCAATAACTATCAATATCGTTTACCGGTTTACTGGTTCAAGCTCCTCCACAGTTCATTGACTTTAACCGGATGGGTTTTGGCACCTGTTCACCGGTTGAACTGGCCGGTCCAGTCCGGTTCTCACATCATTGGTCATAACAACGATAATAACTCAACTACTCCTAAAACACCCATGTACATACAAGCAACTGCAGAACAATATACAACACACAATAATGACATAACAACAACTGTAACCAAGTGTTAAACAGCATAAAATTATGCTATATCAAGAATGTACTTGATCCCTAAAAAAAATGGCTTATGCAACAAAGATCTTGAGGCACATGGAAAATTGGCCCCAATAACTATCAATATCGTTAATATACTGTAATTCTAATCTCCATTCATGGTCAGTACCTTAATATCGGGGTAACTCACACATATGGTTTTTGCGGTTAACTAGAAATCATATACTATTTCATGTTTCTTTTTCAAGTTATATCCATCATGAGCGATCTTATTTCAGGGACTCAACATACCTGACCAGACTTGAGGATTCCTTTATAGACACGACCGAATCCTCCTTTTCCAAGCAGATTTCCCTCACTGAAGGAATATGTGGCTTCATCCATTTCCTTGTAGGTGAAAACCAATGGCACAAGCTTCCGCTTAACAGCGGGTACTTGATTCTCAAGCTGCCAATGCTCAACAGGTTTGTAAACCCCTTAAAAAGAAACACTTTGTAAGAATAAAGGAATTCTCCAAATTTTAACATGATATTAAGAGAAAAAGAATGTAATTCAAAATGATTAAGAGAGGAAAAGATGAAACAATCATGATAGAAAGGAAACAAAATCTCTCACAAGGATCATTCTGGTCATGGGATCTGCTTCTTCTCCGTTTGTTCCACGCCGATACTAATCGAAAAGGCATAATTAACAAGCCTCAATAACCAAATTCCTCGTCGAGAATCAAATAAAACACCTAATTCGATTACAGATCACGCCAACTCATACAATTTCCATAGAATGTACTGTTTCTCTGTGATTCCGTTGAAATTCAAAAAACCAGTAACCCATTAAAGCTAAAAACCCAATCCATTATTTCAAAGGCCATATTCCATGAAACCCAAAACCCAATCTATCATTTCAATATCCACAACTCATCAAACCCAAAACCGAATTTAATGATATTGATACCCAAGAATCCCAATTCACCATTCCCAATATAGCCCCTCACAGTTACTTGCCGTGAAGATTGGACTCTGCATACTGAAATGTTCATGGAAAATTGCAGAAGCAAGGAAACTCCATGAAGATAGTGAGGCCGCTTCCAGTGAAAGGAAAGGAAGGGCTTCGATTTTTGGGGTGCCAAGATTGGGAAAGTATTGAATGAAAGAGAGACGATATTCCCATGACAAAATGTGATGATGGCGATGATAAGAGAGAGATGTTGGGTGGGTTGAAGGGCCATTTTCAGTCGCTTTTGCCACTCCCCACTACGCATCACGTTAGGTGGAGTCTATGATTTACAGATACGAAATACCTACAAGCCAGCCTCGCTGGTTCTTGTTGCTTTTCCTGTGAGGAAGATAACCGGTCGAAAAACTATTTCAAACTCAATGTGCACATGCCGTCGTGGATTTCTCCATGCAGAATCGTTGCTTGAGATCTGTCTAGCATTTTTTTTAAAAATCTAAAAAATAAAAAATATAGCAATCTATCTACTACATTTTATAGCTAAATTACAAAATAAAAAATAAAAAATCCGAGAACCAAACTTTCTATGCCTATTTAATTAATTATTTATTTATTTTTGTTTTTCTCACTTTTTTTCTCCAAAATACACTTTTTATGCAAAATAGTTCCAACCAAAATAAAAATAAAAAAATAAAAAAATATCTAAGTGACCTTCCCTTCCTTTTACCTTACCACGCCAGGGGATCCGACACTATAAGTGACGTACGGCAGTAGGGTTTTGGCATTGTGTAAAATGCGGCAGTCAAGCAATAGGGCTTTGGCACTGTATAAAATGCCGCAGCCAGGTAATAGGGCTTTGGTACTGTGTAAAATACGGCAGTCAAGCAATAGGGCGTTGGCACTGTATAAAATGCGGCAGTCATGTAATAAGGCTTTGGTACTGTGTAAAATATGGCAGTTAGGTAATAGGGCTTTGGCACTGTGTAAAGTGTGATCCGCAGCGTACGGAGCGTGTTATTATGCTTATGAGTTGTCATTAAGTGACACGATCTGGTGCGTAGAGTTTCAGCCCCTTGGGCTCTATAGGCGTGGGCCTCTATTCTCTAGCATTGCTTTGTCAGATTACCCTTCGTTAGGCACGGATTACCTTTCGTTAAGCAAGATAGGCATTGTCTGTTTTGAACATACGACTCTAGGCGTACTTGAGGGCTCCGACATTGTGTAAAATACGATCCGATGTATCTGAGGGCTCCGGCATTGTGTAAAGTATGGTCTGGCAATTGCAAAGGGCGATCCGATAGTTACAAAGGCAGTCCAACAATAGTTGTTATTGGATTCCAAGTCTTAGACACTATGTAAGAGGCGGTCCAACAGTACTTAGTTTCGGTGCGGTAGTTATCTTAAGGCAGTTTGGCACTTGTCCCCTCCGACAATCTAATGGTTGCTCCAGCAATGTACTACTGAGCCCAAAAGTCAATGTTAAATTTGGCCAAAATGATTTTTGTGTACGTGAAGGGCATTTTCGTTTAAAAAAAATGAACTTTTTCCTTTGGGGGTATTTGTATAGAACATTTGTTTTGGGATAAAAAGTGGGTGAAAAAGTTAGGTTGGCAGTAAGTTGCATAGAAAATGTGATCTTCGGTGTTTTTTGTAATTTTTCTATATTATATCTATCTATCTATTATATATTAAGCTAAAAAGAGACCTGCACTACTTTTATGACACGTGTTTCACTCCATATATTTTCTCTTTCAAAAAACCAATTCGACTTGTATTTCTCTTTTTACAAGTTTCAAAGCCAAAGGTTACCACCTCTTTAATTCTCTCCAACAAGCTCTCTCTTTAAATTAAATGATATCAATCGTATTTTTTTTTTTCTCATTTTTTTCTCCCCTCTCACTCATCCCTCTCTCCTTAAATCTCTCCCAATCTCTTCTTAAATTATCTATTTCTTTATATCTTCTTAAATCTCTCCCTGTCTCCTTCTTTCCCTCTCTCTCCACACACTCTCTCTCACTTTGTCTCAAATGTTTCTTACCATATCTACCCATTTATCTTAATCTCTTTCTATTTCTATCTTGTTTTTTCTTATTCTATTTTTGGCAATTTTCTTTACCAGATTGTGATTTACCACCGATATACCAGTCAATTATAGATCTTTGGATGCTACCAAATTTTGAATACCCTTTTGAAACTTTAGGTAACAAAATGAATTTCTTTTATTGATTGTCGTTTGGTACTATATTTATTTATTTCGTTCGTTAATTAAATTAATTATATTTTATTTATTAAATATATAAATTTAATTTATTGTGTAAATCATAAATAAAGAAATATTATTTTGGCTTGAGTAATTGTGGTTGAGTAATTTGAACCATGATAATAGTATTTTCAAATTGTTGTGGTTTTATGACAGTTAATCATATATCTCTGGACGTTGTCAAATTTTGAACACCATTTTAAAATATTTGGTAACAAAATAATTTTTTTTATTGTTTGGTTCACACTATATATTAAGCGAGAATAAGACCTGCACTATTTTTATGACACATGTCCCACTCCCTAATTTTTTTCTTTAAAAAAAACAGTTCAACCAGTATTTTTCTCTTTACGAGTTTCAAAGCTAGATATTTAAGAAGAGGGATAAATGAGAGGGGAGAAAGAAATGAGAGACGAAATATATTAAGTTCATATCATTTAATTTAAAGAGAGATAGTTGGAGAGAATTAAGGAGGTGGGAAGCTTTGGCTTTGCAATTTTTGAAAAGAAAGACAAATCAGTTTAATTGTTTTGGAGGTGGGAACAGTTGACTTTTAAACTTGTAGAAAGAGAAATAAGGGTTGAACAGTATTTTTTTTTTCTAAAGTGAAAAAATAGGGAAAGGGACACTTGTCATAAAAATAGTGCAGGTCTCATTCTTGTTTAATATAGAGTGTAGAAACAAAATAACAATCTACGAGGCAAAAAAAAAAACATAAAAAAAAAGAGACAACCAACCACAACGCAAAAGATATACGTGGTTCGGCAACGTGCCTACGTCAACGGGGTACAATAACTATATTCCTCACACCTCTCTCTTTTTGATAACGGTAAAGAAATCTCCATTTTTTCTGAATCCTAAAACAACCCCTATCGCAACAATATATATCGAATCCTAGACAAATAGTACAAATTACCGAAATACCTCATATACGGATACAAAATTCAAGCCCTTCCGGCTTTTAACGGCCCTCCGCAGTCGTCTGTTTGACTCCATCTTGACAGATCTATTTCCTCATAATACAAGACATCAATCCTCAACCTATAGTGTGTTACCAAACAATAAAAGACACTCGTTTTGTTACTAAACATTTTAAAATAGTGTTCAAAATTTGATAGCCTCGAGATATCTATGATTAACTGTCATAAAACCACAACAATTAGAAAATACTATTATCATTGTTCAAATTACTCAACCACAATTACTTAAGCCAAAATAATATTTTTCTTTATTTCTTATTTACACAATAAATTAAATTAATATATTTAATGAATAAAATATAATTACATTAAATGACAAACAACACAAAAAAATATAGTACCAAACTGCAATCAATAAAAGAAACTCATTTTGTTACCTAAACTTTCAAAAGGGTATGTCCAGATATCTATAATTAACTGGTATATTAGCTGTAAATCACAATCTCGCAAAAAAAAATAATATCAAAATTAGAATAAGACAATAAGATAGAAAATAGAGAGAGACTAAGGAAAAAAGATAGATAAAGTAAGAAACATTTGAGACAAAAAGGGAGAGAATGGAGAGAGAGAGAGAGAGGAGAACTAAGAGGGAGATTTGAGGTGATATAAAGGAGTTTGCCAATTAGAATTTTCGTTTTTAGATGAGGGAAGTTCCAATACCTTCCTACCTCTTCCTTTTCCTCCTTGTGTTCTTTCTTTACCTTCACCCTCTCTCCTTGGGCTAAGAGAGAGAGTGTGAGCTTTAACCACATTGGCAAGATTTTTCTGCAGCTTTTGCGCATTAACAAATCAATAGAATAATTGATTTTAGGGATATAAGAAACTCTAAATTGGATGATAAATTCATCTTGATCATTTTCCATTAATGTTTTAACTAATAATTACCCATTTCTTTTTACAAAAAATGGGGTTTTCTTGCTATTTTCTAAAAAATCGATCAAAGTGCATGATTCTACTTTATTTTTCAACCAATCTTTCTCAAGTTTGGCTCTAAATGATCGTAATCAAGCCTATTACAAGATTATTGGCTCAACTCTGGTTATTACCCTTTTTTTATGGGTCTAACTTGAAAAAATTTGGTTTTCTCATCCATTTCTTAAAAAGTGCAGTTTGTATAGAGCCTAGGCTCTAAACAATAAAATTAGAACCTACCTTCAAATAGTGTCCATAAATGTGGTTTCATTACTGGAAATCTTTGTGATAACCTTAAAATATATTTTCATATTTATTTATAAAGTTAAAAACTTCAAAATAGTATAAATCGACAGATCTATGAAAACGTGAAAATCTTGAAAATTAATGGTCCAAAAATGCGTTACAATATACATTATTTCCAAAACTTGAAATCCATTTTTTTCTCATATCCATACATCTTGATATCGAGATGATCAATTTGAAGATATTTGGGGATCAAAAGAACCGCTTCTAGTAAAAATTTTGATGTAGGCTAAAATTTGATTGTTTAGAGCCTCAGCTCTATATAAACTTTTCCCTTTCTTAAATCCACTAAATATAAATTTTTTGTGTATTTTATCAAAATGAATGGGGTTTTCTATCTACTAGGAGCTTGATTTATTTGCACCAGGTATCGTAATAATTTTTTGTTTTATTTTTTACTTTTAATTTTTTGCTCAGGTTTCATGTAATATTACACTTATTGAAAATCCACCAAATTGAAAAAAAACTTCATTTATCACTTTTAACTTGTTATTGATCCAATTCGATGGATCCAAACGGATTATTACATAGATCTAGGCCCAAAACTAATTAGGTTTAGGGTTATCCCAAAAAGATGTCATTGTTTTGAAAAATTGTTCAAAATTGGCAAAAAAAGGTTTAGAATGACTTTTGTTGTCTTTTTTCTATTTTATAAATATCTTGATTTTTTTGGCTCAATTTTCATTTTTAGGAAAAAGAATGCTCACTTATTTGAAAATATATATTTTGATTTTATAAGGTGAAACTTTATCAGGGATTTTGATTTTTTTAGTCGTACATTTTTTGTCTTCGAATTTTTTTTATCTATATTGATTCAATATAATTTCATTTCATTGTCTTGTAGAGTGAAATTTCCAAAAATGTTTGTTGCTGTTATATTTATTACGTATTACAATAGAATGTATAATTATTCTAAAAATATATCTTGATCATTTCTTTTTTTTTTTTTTTGGTAAATTTTAAATACATGCTACCAAATTTTGAACACCCTTTTGAAAGTTTAGGTAACAAAATGAGTCTCTT